TACTTCGTTCGAGGATTTTCTACTCCATGAAGAGGGACAATAAGACGACCAGAAGGCTTTTGGAAACTATTTCAATTTTATAATCTCCTTCAGCATTCGCCTTCATTGTCAAAAAAGAATTGATGATTATAAAAAACTCAATAGCAAAACGAGTAGATCGGGGCTGCAATTCTCACAATAACAATATTTTTGATTTTTGCGAGAGGAATCAACCCAATTTTTTTGAATTAGCAACTCTACCTGACTTCTCACGAGTAGCAATTATAGATGCTTAGTTTTTCATCACATTGTCATATCAGCTTGTTAATGAGAAAGGTTTCCGTTTTCACCTGAAGGACGTGCCCTCTACATTCTAGAATATTCCACTACATTCCAGAGTATTCATTTATGATGAGATGTTTGTCAATTGACTACTCTAGGACGTTGCTCTGATTTGAAACATCCATGTACTTAGTTCATGTTCCGGTAAATGTAGCTGTCAGAAATTAAACTGGAAACGTTTACGGCCATTGTAAGCAGACGTTCATATACCTCTGGTCGTAGAGTCTGTATGTTTCCGCGCATTCCCCCAGGTAGAGGAAGCATACAGGATGATGGAAGTTAGGATAGATTTGACAGAGAGCAGTTTCTCTTGCAGATCCATATTACTTCTGTATCCTGTGATGTCATTGATATTTCGATAATGATATAGATAATAATAATGTTATTAATGATTATGACGATGGTAATTATAGCCCAGGTGCACCCGCGAGGAAGAACTTCTTTCACTCTCCGATGCCGGCCGTGGGTCTATTTGGCTAAGCACTCGATATACCGTATGGTTGGTTATGGGCAATCAACACCCCCGACTCCCTCCAACTAGGTGAGATGGAGAGGGCGTATAATGGAAGTTTGCTCTTAGACGACGGATGTGATACTACCATTTACCTTGAGTGGACGCATAAGAGAGAGAACTCGTCCAAGATAATACATTCGTGGTATGAAACACATCCGAAGCATACCGCCGTTTCCGCCCCTTTCCGTTCAAAACCTGAAATATTATGTATGTTATCTTTTTAGGCAGTATATATAGCTCCTCCTCAGCCTACTCACAATGTGTTGTGAGTGGCAGTTCTACCACTTGTTGGCGTGACTCGAGAGGAAATTCACCTCATATCACCAGTAAAGACAATCAGGATACTCAGGGCGATCCACCGAGTTATCCTGTATCCACAAGGCCTGACTTCTTCAAATGCGGAAGTTTGTTTATGTTTACACGGAAGAGGCTGATATCTGGTGAATCAACAGCACCGCGTACACAGCCGTTCAATCGCTTTCCGAATTGGAAGGACGGCATTTCGGCCTGGCAGTTCATAAGATTGTACGCCGGGTACACAGGACGGAGATTAATATCGGGTTTGCGAGAAAACATGCGTCACGTATTCTATGTGTGATGAATGACACGGCGATCAACAGCATTTTCACGCCTGCACTGCGGCGAATAGCTGCCATATTTCGACGTTTCCATCGAACTCTGAGTCAAGGCGCACTGCTGAGCACCAAACAGCAAGGCATCGGTAGAGAACGGATTCTGGTGGTTGCTGAAAAATTGCCAGTGAAGCAAGTAGGAGGTATCGGGAAAGACCTTAAGATTCGCGAGAAACCTTCTAGCTCCTCACAAGAGCCTCCATTCTAGCTTCTTACAAGAGCCTCCGCGTTTTGTGAATGATCCGCCCACCGCTGATCAGGTGAAACCCTTCTATGAGGAAATTCATGAACACACTAAGCCTCTCAATTTTAACAGTTCTCCACTTTCAGCAGAGAGTTTCAACAACCTAAGCTCAAGTATTTGCACAACCTGATTCCGTTGATGATCATTTCTGATGACAGAATGGTTACTTCATAGTCGTGGTGGAACAGACTTTGGCTGAAAGAAGCTAGAGCCTCACAAGAAAGAGAAGTCGTCACAACCAGTACTTACACTTCTCTACATCAGAAGATTGTTGGAAAGGATAGAAAGAATTGGGTCCAAGTATAACAACAGAACCTGCTTCAGACCCGGAAACAGTGTCCGTAGCAACCTCATAAAAACCAGTCCACCAAGCGCGGACTGCGATTCCAAAAATTGCATTCACCGGATACCCTGCGAGTGCGGTAAAACTAAGAGGTCATTGAAAGTCCGCATTGCCGAGCACAAAAAGCACACACAGCGAGGAAGAACTAGCAAATCGAAAATAGCAGAGCATGTTTGAACTCATCAACATAACATCAAGTGTTCCCAAGCTGAGGTCATGTTCGAGGAGAAACACTGTTTTAGGAGGAATTTCAAAGTAGCCGCATATACGTTGTCCAAAAACGCATTAAGCCAATCTAGTGTAGAGATACGCAACATATGGAAACCCATAATCAAGCTGAAAACCGCCAACTCCCGGTAAACGGTCAGCTCCCACGAAACCGGTGAAGCGGAGAGCGAAAAGAAGGGATAGGTGAGAGCACTCAAATGACCTTTAATAGTCATCTTTCTGAGGAATGAGTCCAGTTATCACCCGAAGTCGATTGTGGATACTAACAATCGGAAAGTCGTGAAGTAACTAGCCTTGGAATCTTTTCATGTTCCATTTCTTTTTGATTGTTCAATTTTCAATTGTTGCATGTATTATATTTTATCTAATTTTTTTTCGAACGAATTAATGCTTTATTCGAATAAATAAAATACATATATCATTAAAAATTGCCTTCGTGGTAAACGACGGCGAATAGCTTGTATTGTTTGTCTGTTGGAGACTGTGTTTCCGACGATATCGAAGTCGAATCAAACTTCAAGTCGAATTCAAAATCAAAAGCTTTGATGATCTTCGTGCAACGGTCGTTGCTGAATCTGAAAAACTTCAGATGCAAAATAAGGATAACGGGAAGTTTGCAGAGCGTAATTTGCTCCCAAGATTCGACCTTCTCGTTTGTTTTCGACGAAGTCACTCCCTCTAAAATATTCTTGGAGACAAGTACCTTAAGCGCTTCTCTGACGGTCTTCACTTCTTCATTGTTGAGTGGCAGGGTGAGGAAAGACTGGGTATTCTCAGTAATATGGTCCACGTTGCGATGAATGCTCGACTTTAGTTGCCCCCCGAAGATGTCACTTATCGATGTGTATTGGTGAAGTCGATCCTTCTGGTTGGATATCCTTCATTTTACGATTTTATTATGTTCCATACATTATTTGAATCATTGCTCAAAGCAGAGTCAACGAGAGGTTTTTCATCTTTGATATAATATTCAACCAACTCATTTAGTTCAAACATTTCATCATTGAGTCCATTCAAAAGAAAATCTAGACACTCTTCTGCATCTTGTTGTCTACCATCGATCCAGTCAGTCCGCATGTTATGCGACATTTTATAAATCCACGTCGGACCGAATGGGATGCCAGTGTTGATTGAAACTTTTTGGTCATTCTTGGAATTTCCGTGAAGAAGTAGAAAGGTAGGTGAACAAACTGTTCCACAAAACGGCACATTCCAAATATAACCGGGGTAGATGTCATTCTCCCGTTCGAAGAGATGTTTTTACTCAGACGGTTTAGTAAGTTGTAGAGTGGTGGACATGCGATCAGGCCTGGCAAAATAGAGTCGACATAACAGTGATTGTTTTGATTGAGCAGACCCCTTGGCTGCAAGTTTACTGCCCTATCGTCGATCATATATGTAGATAGAAACATGCCCATCCTGGATATACAAACTGGTGGGACCTTCTGGAGAACTTGAAGGAGCATAAGGGAAGATTGTGGTTGAACTCGTGAATTGTTGACGGGTTCAGACATAGGCGAATGATGGTGGTTCATCGTCGGGAAGACCATAGTGTGTGGGTAGTTGGCAAAATGTGGAGATTCAGCTGTTTGTTGAATCACTGCAAAATTTTCCTGAATTTGAACATTTTTTCTCTCCTGCATTTGTCCTTTCATGATGTTGGAACTGCTAGTATTGAGTTTGCCTGTTAAGTCTTCTTCTACAATTTTTTTAGAAGTGAAGTCTGATTTACTCTCATTAACGTTTGGATAATTTTCAACAGAAGAAACTGTTTTAATCTTCCTCTTTGAAGATGATCACTTGGTGATCGAAACATGTGTCGAGGTGTTAAAAATAACGATTTGGTGTTGGGAAAAAAATCCACTAATATTTGATATTCAGAAGAAACTGGGGAGGAATCCGTAGTATCAGACTAGTTTAGTGGGCTAAAGAAAATTTCATCAAAACTTTGAGAAGGAGAAATGGTGCCAAGGATTCATGCAGCATTTCCTCTTTGAATTGCAATGCTGATTCGTTTTGTAAGAAATCATCTTGCTCTAGTATCGCCTGTTACTGTAATTAGTTTTCGACCTATATCTCTGAAGAAAAGAAACCAAAGCTACCAGATGTTTCGATGGCAATTGGATAGAAAATATATCGATCTTCCAGATAAATGTATTTCCGCACCAGATGTTTGCGAAGTTGAATTGAGATGAGAGCGAGCCAAGGTATCAACACAGGTGAAGTCCCAAACCGAAGGTTTTCCATGTCTTCAAGGAATGGGAGACATTCCATCAGGACGTTTTCCATGATCCATTCAGTTCGAGTTTTTTTTTTTGAATAAAATTGTTATTCTCTGTTATTCTTTTTAATTTTATTGATTCTTTCAGAGATTTCAAATTATTTTATATCATCTTAGACAGGAATTACTCTATTATGTTTTCATTTCAATAGATCCTACACCCATTTGAACAAAATCCCCATCAAGTGACCCTGCTCTGCCCTCTGCCTATTTTGTATTCAATAGTTTCTCAATACTTTGGTATCTGATTAAATATTTCCGTGAATATTTTCGTAACAACGTATTTTAGGCGAGATCTGTATGTTTGGGGTTATCAATTAGTTCATCATTGTGATGATTTTGGATTCCGGCATTTCATTTCATTCAGTCAATAAACTGTTCAATAAACAAATTGTGTGGGTTAAAAGATCTCCATAATGATGATGATTCAGCCAAAAATGTACGCAGACGGCGGAAGTAGAGGTACAAAAATTGCGATGAGAGCTATACTGAAAAAATACAATCACTTGATAAAATGGAGAAATCATCCTTCCATCATGGAAATAGGATATGGCGATGGAGGATGCTCTCAGGCATCATTTTCTCCTTACTTACCATCTGACTTGAAAGAGTTTATAGCAGTGGATAAATCCGACAAGATGGTTGAGTATGCCAAAAAACACTCTAATCTAAACTCTATGGAAATTGAACAACTGGACATAGCAACAGAAGAAATTCCATCCGAGTATTTGGATAGGTTTGACCATATATTTGCGTTTTTCGTTATGCATATGGTTCAGGATACAAGGTACGTCGCGACTATCAATAGTGCATCTGTCATCAATTCTATAATCCCCGTCGATTTTCGTGAAAATATCCTGATATTTGTCATCCAACTGCTAGTTATCAGAAACGGTTTCGAAATCATTGAAAAATGTTCTATAATCATCGATTTTGGCATCTGGGGAAGCATATACAAAACTGGATTATGTGAAATTGATAATCATTTTCAGTGCATTCATTAATTCCTCGTTGCTTGTGATTCCTGAATAGGACAGCTACAACTTTTTCGATGCTAGTGTCATTTTTTCATCCAACCAGATACCCAGGTATTTAATACCTGGCTTAGTAAATATGAAATTTCAAGAAACTTTTCAGAACTAACGAAAAATGATCTTCAAAATCATTTTTTCATTGTCGAACATAATGGAAAATTTTCGGTTAATCATAAGGATCAAATATAGGTTCACTTCTGTTCATAATTTTCATCAATGATTTACCATCAACTCTGAAATATTCGGACTGTCTTCTTTTTGCTGATGACTTGAAACTCTTCGGATCAGGCCAAACAGTCCGAGAGTGCAAATGGATATAAGAGAGTAAATGGATATAAATAACATCTTATATTGGAGTTTTATTTGAAGAATAAATTATACTTCAATCTTAATAAATGTTCAGTCGCATAAAGGAGCCAATCATATTTAGTTATGAGATTGATGGTATAGTTCTTGAAAGATAAACTGATACCAAAGATCTTGGATTGGGGTATAATACACAATCCTCATTTGTTGATCATATACGAGATATTATGAAATCTGATAGTCGAATGTTGGGTTTTGTAATCAGACAGACTTCTTCTTTCTTTAATATAGAAATTATTGAGTTTTCTTCCGTTATTTGTTTTGCGGAGTACCAAACCTATACAGGGCTTTTCATGATGAGCGTTAATTAGCCGTTTCTGGCAAACTATTCAACTGATCAACCTAAAAATTCCACAGAATGCATAAATCAATATGACCTACACGCCTAAAAAATTTTAGACGAAGCGGCGTTGTCGCTTCTACTATAAAGTAGCGGCTTCTTTGATTTTTCAAATAGAACACCCCGTATATAATATCATATTATGATTCAT